CACGGCCAAAGCCAAGCGATGTCTTTGATCGTCCATCTGACCCCAAACTGACCTCCTGCACTTTTCAATTCATTTTGAATCATGCTATGCTGGCCGCTGTACTGGCCAGAGCGATTCTAACTCTTAGCAAAGACCATTTCACATTTTTACCAACATTTCCAGGCCAATTTCAGATCTTTTTATTGAATAGCAAGAACAAAATCTGAGCTTTTCTGAACTCAGGCAGTAGGAAGAGGAGAGGAAGTGTTGGATTCATAAATAGAATGAAGGCTTGGGAGAGAGGAGAGCTGGAAACTCCCCTCCCTTGGAGAAGAATGAACACTGATTTGGGTCACAGTGAAGTTGGAGGAAGAAGGTACAACTCCCAGGGTGGAGACGGAGGTTTGTTCTTCCTCGGGGAGGATCAGCTCACCAGTCTTCCACATCATTTATGATGCTCTGGGTCAGGCGTCCTCAAACTGCGGCCCGCCAAGGACATTTTCCAGCCCACTGGGTGTTTTTGTGGCCGCTGCTTGTCCTGCTTAGCAGCTGACTCGTCCGGGGGCCCACAGTCCAACCCTCCAACAGTCTGAGGGACAGTGAACTTGCCCCCTGTTTAAAAAGTTTGAGGACCCCTGCTCTGGGCTATACGTGACAACAGGTCCCACTCCAGCTTAATGGTGAGTAAAGTATATCTTAACTAGACAAGAGCCAGGTTGACTTTGCAGCTCGGTGTCATAGGTAGCTGCCTATGCTCCAGCCCTCTGTCTTTTCCTCCATGACCATAAGGTGACCGCACAGGGGGAGGGACCACCTTCCAGAACCCACTTCCACAGTCAGCAGACTCCCTTGCATGAGAATCATTTCACAGACCAATGCTGGTAAACAGGAGCCTGCAGACTTTTCCTGTGAAGGGCCAAGACAGTAAACATTTGGGGCTTTGAGGATACACATTTGGTCACAATCATTCAACTCTGCTGTTAGAATTCGAGAGTTGTTCTTGGGTGATGCATTATTAACAAATGAGCATGGCTGTACTCTAATAAAATCTTAGTTACAAAAACAAGTGTAAGGTTGGATTTGGCCTGTGGGTTGTAGTTTGCCCACACTTGAGCTAGACCATCTATCCTCAAAATTAGCATCAGGACACAATTGACACTGAAATGTGTGTCACAGGCAATTTGTTACTAATTTATAACAACAGTGCTTGCAAATGGCTTATTGCATTCTCCGTTGGCGTCGAACAAAGGATATTCGAGAGGCCCTAGTTCATAACAGTAAGCATAGGATCACCCAGCAGGCAGAACTGGAGCACAGCAAAGCCAGGGCACCAAGGCAGATGGGAATAAAACACCAAAGAATCCCTTATTTCCTAATAAGCAGCAAAAGTGACACTAAGGGAAGTCGTTAAACTGTGTTGAATTTACTTTACAAATTTAGCATTTAAGAAAATATTTAAGGGAGGCTCCTGTGGCTCAAAGGAGTAGAGTGCCAGCCCCATATACTGGAGGTAGTAGGTTCAAACCCAGCCCCGGCCAAAAAAAAAAATATATATATATATATATATATTTAATTACATTTAGAGGGTGCTATAATTCCCTCTGAACACCTATATTCCACTGTTAGTGGTTAGAAACACTGTTAGTGTTTCTCATGTATTGAAAGGATGTAAAAAAAAAAGTCCTTATCACTGAGTTCAAACCACAAATTTTAGAGATTAGAAAGTGGAGGCTCAGAGAAGTCAAGACACTTTCCCCGGATCACAGAGCAGCTCAGTGGCAGAACCGAGACCCAAAGCCAGGCTACGGTAGGTTGCAGTGTTGTTCAAAAATATTTGCCCCTCCATAGAGGAAGACAATATAACTTACTGCAGGGACAAGCTTGGCCCTGTGCCGTGTGGGGCCCTCCCTGCAAGTGGAGTACACGTCACAACCACCGCCCACCTGCTGAACTCAGAGCCACCATGTGACTTGTTTGCCCAAGAAACGTGACAACAGGTCCCACTCCAGCTTAACGATGAGGAAGTGTATTCTAGTGAGACGAGAGCCAGGTTGACTTTGCAGGTAGCCATCTCACGTCTGATTACCATGTGTGTCTGCTCTCTGCCTCAGGCTGGGGATGGTCTCTGGGTCACAGCATGAAGAGGTAATGTGCAGCCACCACAGGTCACCCACGTCATGTGGACAAGGAGCAAACCACTGAGGTCCACAGCGTCATCTGCTCCTGGAGCACAACAGGGCCTGTTCTGAACCCTTTCACCCTTCACAACCCTGCCCTTAAGCACCAGGAGAATCTCAGATTTCCAGCAGCGTCACGTGGAACTTAAATGCACACGTTTTAGCGTCAGCCTGCCTGGATGCAAATCTTGCCCCAACCCCGCGGTCCCTGCATGTCACGAACACTTCGGGTGTTGCTGAACTGTTCATGTCATTGCCTGTGCACACGGCCACCTCCACGGCAGTCATGCTGCCTCAGGTACGATGTCCATGGCCATCACTGTCCCTGCATCAGGTCAAGGGGAAGGGTTGTGGCAGGGGGAGGGCTCTGCTGTGCAGAATTAGGACCAGAGCCCTTCAAGTCACACACACGTCCTATCTCTGTCCCTCCCTCCTGTGCATCGGCAGCTGAATTACTAACCTCAGCAAGCCCCAGTTTGCATCTCATGGGGTGAGGTGAGGATTCAGTGAAATAATTCATGGAAAAATGCTCATCACGATGCCTGGCACATGCAGGTCTCGACAGATTTCAGGATCAAGGCCAGAATCCTCAGCTGCCAGCGCAAGCCCAGGAGGGTGTGGGCAGGGAGGGCCGTAGGCGGAGGCCCATCTTCCTCTGCATCAGGAATCCGGATGAAGAGCAGGACCACTGTGGGTTAGCCCTGGCCCTCCCCCAGCACACCGCTTTGAAATTACAGACCAATTAGCCAGCTGGTGCCAAGTTGGTAGAATATAAAGCACTCTCCTCACCCCCACTTCACCCCTACCAGTTAGCTAGCGTGGGTTCCAACGGCTAGCAGGGCTGACTACCCACGCTGGCAGGGCTGGCCATCCATGGCTGGGAATGCTGGCTAATCATGGCTGGCAGGGCTGACTACCCACGCTGGCAGGGCTGGCCGTCTGTGGCTGGGAGTGCTGGCTACTCATGGCTGGCAGGGCTGCCCATCCATGGCTGGGAGTGCTGGCTACCACACTGGGGGAGTCGTCAATGATGACTGTTCAGGTGATGACTGTACTCTGTCCGGGCATCTGCTCCAGAGCTGTGAATCCATATATCGCAGGGATCTTTCCAGATCATGTAAGATATACCATGTCCCTTTACAGAGAGATCCAAGCTTATACAGAGCTGCCCATGAACAGAGCTCTGTGGCCCATGTTCTTTCCAACCACATCCTTCCCAGCATGCACCCCTGCTGATGACAGGGTCTCCTACCTGAGCCAGGGCTTCAGCGCACTTGCCAGCCTGAGGGTTCCACCTGGGGCCAGGTGTGCTTGCCTCGAGTCTGGTCCAGTAGACACCTGCCCGGGTCTGGCCAGAGAAGAGCTGGAGAGTGGTGAGTGAGGGGCAGACCCCACATGCCCAGGCCTCGATGTGCTGGCTGCCACCTTGTCTGCCAGAAATCTCAGCCTCTCCAGAGCAAGCCCTTCACATGCAGACACACCCAGGAGGGAACACAGCAGGCTCCCAGCTGTGTTTGAATGAGCTCACGGGATGCTGTCACACATACATGCCACAAGTGTTTCCAGAGTACTCCAGGTTGACTCCAGGGCCAAGGGACCAAAGGGGTTCCAGCCCCGCCAGCCGCTGGAACCCGTGCTAGCTAACTGGTACGGGTGAAGGGGGGGTGAGGAGAGTGCTTTATATTCTACCAACTTGGCACCAGCTGGCTAATTGGTCCAGGGGCAGCACCACCTTCCTCCACGCATGGGAGGATCTGGAGGAAGGGGACTGGGGGAGGGGGCCAGTGGGTGCACCGCTGACCAGACTGTCCTGAGCTCTGTCCTGGAGCCGGAAGGTAAGTCCAGGAAGCCTTGCTGGAAACCTGACAGGGGCCCTCAATCCTGAGCAAAGGAAGGATCTCTGAGAGCTGGTGATGTGCCCCTCGGCAAATACTGTGTAAGAGGCCACCAGACTTTCTTGGTTTTTCTTCTCAAATGTCACCATGAATTAGCAGCACTCATTTCCGGGTCTACTGGGAATCCACCTTTACTGTATTCATCAGAGCAAACCTTGAGGTTGGAAAGAAAGCCTTTCGTCTGGGAAGTGACTGTGAAAGTTGATCAGCACGGAGTCAAGGGAGAGAGCGGGGAGGGCCCAAGAAGGTGGAATGTCTTCAGTGAAACGATTGAGAGGCAACATTTCGGGGTAGTTTAATTTCCTACTGCATTTTAATGACCAATAAAGAAGATACAAAAACGTTATTTATAAAGAAACCCCAGCATTTTGTTTTCTTGGCCTAACAGATCAATTGGAACATACAGTATGATTTTTAAAAAATGTTCTGGCCAAACACTGTAATGGATCTTTCATGCCCCCGAGCTGAGCAGTTATCACTCTCACACAGTCAGGATGCAGGAGAGGGGGCACTAAACGGGAAGAATGCACTGCTATTTCCCTTCTGATGACAGGCTAGGAAACCTTTACAAATTCTACCCTCGGGCATTTTCCCATTCTGTTTCCCTCCGTTTCTAACTGAAAGTTACAATGTGGCCATTCTCAGGCACTCAGGTGGCCTTGGTGGGGACACATGAGAGACCTTTGGGGTTTTAGAAGGTGAAGGGCAGTTTTTAATTCACAAGCTTCGTCTGCCACTGCTCACCACCCAGCACCAACCCCGAGCCTGCCAAGTAAGGTGGGGTTGCATAGGTGGGGACACAGCCCTGGCCCCAGCTTGGCCTGGACTCCATGGGAGGGAGGGGCTGGGGACCAGGGCTGCCCGATGAGATGACAGCCCCTCCTTGCAGACTCAGCCTGCTCAGCCCACACAGCCCCCTTCTTCCACACCAGCCGTGCTGCGGGGACCTCTACAATCCTGCTTCTGCTGCGAGGAGCATGGCAAACGCTGAATCCGGCTTCTCGGCAAGTACTTCAGGTTTGTCAAACTCAATCACCTGGAATCCAGAGAAGCAATGACATCATCAGGAAACACCCACCCAAGGTGAAGCCCAGACGCCCCTGCCTCTGGGGAGTGCAGCCAACAGCAGCTTCACACCTTCCCGTTCTCCATGACCAGGACTCGGTCGCAGTTGAGAACCGTGCTTAGGCGGTGGGCGATGGTCAGCACGGTGCAGCCCTTGAAGGCGTCCTTGATGGTGCTTTGAACAAGCGTGTCGGTCTTGGAGTCCATGGAGGCAGTGGCTTCATCCAGGAGAATGATCTGCCAAGGGAGCAATGTTGTGAAAGTCACACCAAGAAAAAGCTGCACCCAGAGGGAAGGTGATAGCCTTGGTCCTGCTTATTAAAAAAGGAGGCGGAGAGGAATGTAGCAGCCCATATAGCTTATGGCTAGGAGGAGTGAGAGTTATAAGAAATACCTGTATCGCTCAATAATGGAACACCTTGGTGAAAAGGGCATGGAGAGGGATTTAGTTCTAACAAGAAGCATGAGAGCCCAAGAGATGAGAGCACTGGTGAATTGGCAGTCTCTACACCTGTGGTGTTGAGAGGCACGAGATCAGCCTTATATTAGGCTGAAGGAGAAGGCAGTCGGGGGGGACTTGCATTCTATCACGGATGCGCTTATGCTGACTCTGTCTCCTCTCCTGCCTGCAGAACGCCAGCACGGCGTCTCTCTGCTGAAGATCACCAAGCTCTGCTAAAGACTAAGTAAGCTCTATCTTTCCAAGAAGACTGCTTTACTCTCTCTAAGACACACACCCTCTCTCTCCAGCTAAAGTAGGTAGACCTCAGGCACCTAAGAGAAACTGTTCCTGAGCAAGGTAGCTTAGAGGTCTGAGCCCAGAACCTACCTAAGCTGGGCCCAAGACCTAGTCAGTCCCAGGCCCTGACAGAGGAAGGGGAAGAAAAGCTGAAAATTAAGGAACTAAGCATTCATCGTGAGACGTTACATCATTTCCATCTTCCTCACAGGAATCTCCTGGGAAACAGCCGCGCGCGTGTGTGTGTGTGTGTGTGTGTGTGTGTTTTGCAGTTTTTGGCCAGGGCTGGGGTTTGAACCTGCCACCTCCGGCATATGGGGCCAGCGCCTTACTCCTTTGAGCCACAGGTGCCGCCCACGGCTGTATATTCTTCAGTCCACTTTTTAAGTGAGCTATTCTAACCCCACACGCACAGCTTGATCTCCTGTGCTGACATGCATTGCATGCGGCATATAACAGCACTTATATTTACTTCCTACTGCTGTTGTGACAAATCACCACAAACTTAGAGACTCAACAGCGTAAATTCATTATCTTACAGTTCAGGTCAGAAGTCCTAAAATCAAGGCATTGTCAGGGCAGCATTCCTTTTGGCTCTAGGGGATAAAATATTTCCGTGTCTTTTTCTGCAGGCCACTGCACTCCTTGGTCCGTGGCCCTTCTTGGCATCACATCTCCCCCTTTCTGAATCTTCCGCCTCTGTCTTATAAAAACCGTGTGACCACACTAGATTCACCCACATCCAAGGATAATCTCCCCATCTCAGGATCCTTAATTCAATCACACCTGCAAAGTCTCTTTTGCCGTAAGAGGTAATATATTCACAGATTCTGGTTTTCAGGAAGGATGTGCTCACCTGGCACCAGGTAGGGTGGGGGGAGCGGGTCATCTGCCTATCACAGAGCCAGTGCATGGGGAGGGTGGGGAGAGGATTGCCTGCCTATGATGGGGCCTGCACAGGGTGGGCAGGGAGAGGATTGCCTGCCTATCACAGAGCTGCTGCACGGGGTGGGTGGGAAGAGGGTCCCCTATCACTGGGCTGTTGGATGTCTGGCTCCGCCAAAGGTCACGTTGAAATCTGATTCCCAGCATAGGAGGCGTGGCCTGGGGGAGGTGCTTGAGTCATGGGGGTCGATCCCTCAGAAATAGCTGGGTACCCTGCTCCTAGTAATGAGCTCGCTGGCACTTCTTTAGTTCACCGGAGCCTGGCACCTCCTCCGCCCTCTCCTGCTCCTCCAGTGACACACCTGCTCCCCCTCCTCCTGCCAACTGGTCTGGAAGCTCCCTGAGGCCCTTACTGGAAGCAGAAGCTGGCGCGAAGCTTCCAGTACAGTCTGTAGAACCCTGACTCAAACCTCTTTTCCTTATAAATTGCCCAGACTCAGGTGTTCCCTCTATAGCAGCAGAAAATGAACTAAGGTGTAGCCCCTCACTCTGCTTGACCTTGGCCAAGCTCACTTTCCTGAGGCCACGGCCCCTCGTAGGTGAAGGGGGTTGTGCCTCAGCGGTGACAGGTGCCACAGTGGGACTCATCTGTCCTACATTAGCACGTCTGGAGAACACACACAGTGGCCTGCACCTTGGGTGATTTGGGGTTTCCACATCAGCAGTGATCCCTGCCTTACAGCAATCGGTGATTGAGGCTGGCTAAGTCACTAAGAAACACAGCTACAAAGTTCACATTTCACATAGCCTAGCTTCCGGCGGCCTCAAGCATCCTGGGTATGGTTTATCAATCGTTTGGGGACAAAAGGAAAAAGTTGAGAGGCAGATTTTTCCAACTCAAGCCACTTAGGAGAGCAAAGAGGAAGCAGAACTGAGACCTCCCAGGGGAGCCCTGGGGAGGCAGGTACTGGTCTGAAAATGGCTGTTATTTTTCAATTTTTACCCCTCACAACTTTGTCTTAAGAAAAAGTGATAGGTTTTTAAATGTCTCAATTGCTCCCTTTGCTGTAAGACAAAATGCCTGGCTCTACCTCCCGGATTGAGCGGCGCTGCAGGAAATATCCAAAATTCGACCAATCCATTTTCCGTGCTGTTTTCTTACTTTTGAATTACGGAGAAGCGCTCGGGCCATACAAAGCAGCTGGCGTTCCCCTACTGAGAAGTTTTCTCCATTTGCCATGACTTCTGCCTGTAATTTTTCTGGGAGCTTCATTATCTATAAAACACAGAAAATGCCACATTTACGCTGATGATCTATAAAATTGTCCTCCGTCATCTGTATTGATTGCCCCGTTCTCTTGCATTCATCAGCTGGCTTTATTTTACTGTGGAAAAGAAAGCGTGAAACAACAATCATTTCAACATCGCAAACAGGCATCGGGGAGAGACCAGGGAGTAGGCGGACGTTAATAATTTAAAATCACAGTGTGACTCATAGAACCTTGCAGACAGCTCACCAAACAAGCACAAACAGTGCACATGAAGTCCCCGAGAACACACAGGCAAGTGGAAATGACTCTCAGTCTCGCCATTACCACAGACAAACTAGGCATGGGATGGGAGAGTTTTCTAGTCACTGAGGAAGGGTCTGAATTAGGCAGCATGCCCGCCGCGTCCACGTGGCTTTGGGACATTCTCACTTTCTTCCCATGTCCTGGAAAAGCACACCCTGGACTACAGCAGTGGCCACACTCACCTGCTGACCCCACAGCTCCATGGGAGAGGATCCCCCTCACAGATGGGTCAGTCCCTTTAAACCAGACACATCTGCCATTCCCAGAACACTCCACACCCTCATCCTTCTGAGGCTCACTCTGTCTGACAGGTGCACTAGCACAGGAGGAGGGCGTCCACCTGCAGGATCAGGTGAGCTTGGGTTTGAGTCTCCACTCTGCTGCTCACTAGCTGGACATGTTACTTCCTTTAGCTTTCATTTCAGTGTCTTTAAAATTAGGGGTGAAAGCACCAGTCTCAGAAGGAGCTGTGTGTAGAGGACTTGAGAGGATTGTAGCACAGGCCTACTGTTGCTTCCAACAATAAAGACTGACTAAGGATTGTGTTCCACTGATTCACACGGTGCCCACAGATAAAGCTGGCCGAGTGCTGGCCCAGGGGCTCATCAGATTTGGACCCAGGGCAGTGCTGCTGGCAAACGTGCTGGTCCTGAGCAGCCCAGAGACCCACCGTGTCTTTCATGAACGTCCTCTCCAGAACCTGCCACAGCATCTCGTCGGTGTGACTTTCAAAGGGATCCAGGTTGTACCTGCAATGAAGAGGAGGAGAAGGAGATGCATTGCCAAGGACAGGTGGATGGACAGGGCGGATTCTCTTAGCAAGCGGGGGGTGGGGGGGTGGGGGGAAGCAGACATGCTGCCCCTGCCCTCTGGGAGCTGTGCTCAGTCCCAATGGTGGTCTGTAAAATACGGACCTCAGGCTGCGAGCCCAAGGACCCCCAGCTCTGTGTTGGAGCAGAGACCCCTGAGGCAGGCAGAGAGTGTGAAGCTGAGCCAAGAGGCAGCTCTGAGCCGGGCACTGAGACTGACTGGGGGCCCTCAGTAGTCTGCACAGCAGGGTGAATTTGAAGTGACACAAATTCCTGGCAGTGGGAAAGGGACAGTTCGTGGCTCAGTCTGGCTCTCCATTCCCTCGGCCTTCATGGGCAGAGGTGTGCCTGCAGCTCCCAGCACCTTGCAGAGACAGGGCAGAGCACCTCGGGGCAGGTGAGGCTGACAATTTAAGAGGCAAAATGTCTTTTTCATCCAAAGAACTCTAAATACAGATCAACTTGAAATATGGTGAATACAGTCCCCCTGCTTCATCCATACACCACAGGACAATGTCCCTGTCCTTACAGGACAGCGCTGCACCTCACTCCTGGGGACACTGTGGCTTCCCCTTATGCCTTGACACAGACCTGGAGCCCCAGGGAGGCTGGACCTCCTGCCCCTTGCACTTGCAACAGCTTCCGTTCATTCCATGGTGGAAACAAATTAAGGCATTTCCCCAGGAACAGCTATGGACCTACGGTAACCACTCTTTTTTGTGCAAACTGCAGCACTTTTCAGAGTGGTCATTGTTAAACTTGTTGGACACTGGGACACAGACACAGCTGAGGGCTGTCCAGGGCTACTGGACACCTGCTCGGTCTATGTTGTGTGTATCTTTGTTGTTCATTAATAATGTGTTTATTATTCATACATACACTGTAAGTTGACCACCCAAGGGACAGTAATAAACTGTGAACCTACAGAAGTAGGCAAAATAAGGAACTAGGCCTCCTACACTGATATCTACATGTCTGGTGTATGAAAAGCAGGTCAACTTAAGGAGGTAGTCAGTATAGGCAGGTGGCCAGCTGTGGAGGTCCTGCTGTACCAGTAATCCCCAGCTCCTCCCCAGGCTCAGCTCAGAAGGCGGCACCAGCTGCCTGTGAGCACCCTGGGAAGCTGCTGCCCTCAGAAAGAATGGCCTAGGGACATCGGGGTTCTCAGTCAGTCTGATTTCACTTTCCAAAAATAGGAATGCACAATGATCAAAAACAGCTACCTTACTGTACCTACAAACAGGACGGGATCCTGGGGGATCACAGTCAGCTTGGTTCTGAGGTCTTCCAGAGCCACGGTGCAGATGTCCACCCCATCGATGAAGATGGTGCCGCTGGCAGGCTCCGCCAGACGGAACAAGGCCATTCCCAACGACGACTTTCCTGGAAATGACAAAAGCAAGAAAAACAAGTCAAACATTGTTTTGTGCTTCCATGATAGCCAAGCATGTAATTAAGGGAAATTTTAATGTGATGCATATGGCCCTTTGCACACGACATGAGGCGGAAATTCCTCCCTGGGGTAGGGGTAAGAGGATGGGCTGCCTTAGTGCAATTAACCTGCCCATCCCCGCGGCGCCCTTAGCACATAAGTTGTCCTCTGGGCCTTGTTTCACCAGAGTGATTCTCATTTAATTAATTCAAAAACCGAGGTGTGTTTGCTCCATCTCTGTACACGCAATCAACCTGAAGTCCTAATTTATGGTAGAGCAGTTAGGGAAGACAGCAGTCAATCTGACACACAGACACATCACACTCTGGTATGGCTCAACCAGCACGTCCAGGGGAAATTCAAAGAAAACCCAAAAGAGACAAAAACAGAGCCTGTCCTCACCAGAACCAGTCCTCCCAACAATCCCTACTGTCTGCCCACTTTGTATGTCCAGGTTCAGCCCCTCGAGGACGAGGGGGGTGTTGTCTCTGTATCTCATCTGATAGTCTCTGAAGGTTATCTCCCCACGGCTGGGCCAGTCCTGGGGACAGGTGCCCTCTTTGAGGGGATGACTGCTTTCAGGAACACAGGTCTGAAAAAGAGAATAATCAATAATAGGTAAATAGCTGTTCACTCATTCATTCATTCACATGGCTTTAGGTATTGATGTTCATGGTGGTGAACCAGCCCAGTAAGGACCCTGCATGCAAAGAACTCACATTCCAGTGGGTATATCAGATAATAAACAAGAACAAAATCAGAACTAAGGACAATGAAACCTAGCCCTGTCATTTGTGTGGTGGGCAGGGGAAGAGGCATCTATGAGGACGTGACCAGCCAAGACCCGAAATGCTGGGATTCTGGTCCACAGCCTTCTAGGAAGGCTGACAGTAAGGGCACCGGCCCTGAGGACAGAACATGGTTGGACAATTGAAGAAATAGGAAGAAAAGTCATGTGGCTGGAGCTTAGTGAATAGAGGGACATGACTTAGAGGAATAAGCAAGGAACAGCAGTGTGGCCTTCAAGCCGTGTGGCAGATCCAGACAGAGCCTTGAGACTTGCAGGATTTAACCTGATAGAATTTCAGCATCCACAAGCACCATCAAGGTGCTAGACGTAGAAAGAGGACAAGAATGTGGGAGGTCAAGTTCAGAGGTCTCTTGAGAGTTACAAGGAAAAGACATTTAAGTTCCTAAGAGTCCACGACATGCAAAGTCTGTTAAGGAACAGAGCAACTTGGCATCAGTGTAAGGCTTGACCCCTTCTCCAAAGTTATAAAGTCTCAATTAACTAGAACTAGGGATCCAGTGTGCCCCGTCAGTGTGGCTTAGGTGAGAGAATAACAGTATTCTTAGAGAGTGAGTGTTTTTAACCCCTACAAGATTTAGAATTAAGAATAAAGATATTTAAGAGAAGAAAAACTAACAGTAATATTTTTAGTTTAAAAAAATCTGCATACTTGATATTTCAAGTATTCACAATATTAATAGAATCTGGGCTGGGGATTATAATTTGCACTGTGTAATTTAAAAATTGCTTTAAACATGATTTTAAGTTAAAAGCCTACTGATTATATATGGCATGGGAGCTGTCGTGAGAACGTAAAGCTCAATGTATTTATGAGTTTAATTTATTAGATTTATACAAACTCAGTAAGGTTTGTTTGTTAAATCAGATCATTGTGGCACTTAAAAAGGAAATTGAATATATTAAATTTTAAAATGCAGTTTAAAATGTTTAAGAGTATTTAAGTTTGTATACAGAGCCAAACACTGTTCAAAAGCCCTTAAAAGTCTAAAATTGGCTAGACTTCTGTTCAAAAAATAGCAAGATTTATAAGTTGAATATAAAAGTTTTTAGGCTTTTTTTTATTTACAATTTTAATCAATGAAATATTAATGTTTAGAATCTAAAGAAAACCACTGAATTGTCTTTTTCTATGTGTGGAAGTTGCCTTTAAGGAAAAAAAAATTTTTTAAGTGAAACTCCCATTTAAACATCAAGGATTTTAAATTGTATTATAAATACAGGTTTTAAGAAAAGGAGTGACTGGTGAGATTTCAGCTTTTAAAAACATCTCTTCTGGACAACTGCAACAAAAATAATAGCTGGGTGTTGTGGTGGGTGCCTGTAGTCCCAGCTACTTGGAAGGGTGAGGCAAGAGAATCACTTAAGCCCAAGAGTTTGAGGTTGCTGTGAGCTGTGATGGTTCAGCACTCTACAGAGGGAGACATAGAAAGAAAAAAAATCTCTTCTGCAACTAAAAAGAGCAAATATTTGCCTACGTCCTGGCAGTGTTAACTTGTCCCTCCTCTTTGACGCACTCCTTTCTTACCAAAATATACTCCCTCAGCAGCTCCACGGAGGTCAACTTGGCTTGGGTCTCCGCCCCTGTCCGAATGCACACCTGGAGCAGCCCGCTGAGCTGTGGGAGGGACACAGTGGCAGCAGTGAGAGCCCGGCCTCCTGCGGGGTCTGAGAGCTGCTGCCCAACCAGGGCACGCCCCTGGGAGCCCCCTCCCTGCCTCGAAGCACCACACAGGCAGGAGGCCCAGGCCCAGCCAAGCACCCAGAAGCAAAGATATTTCTGTTGAGCTGTTTTGCCTTTAAACACTTCCTTTGTATTTAGAAACAAATGGTAATTACATTTTTCCCTGGCACTCCAGATGGTAAGAATCATCCCCCCACAGCACCACTTGTCACACGCCTCTTTGAGCAGTGGGAATTCCCCATACCTCCCTGCCAAGAGCCACAGAAAGACTGGGCATCAGCCCCTTGCTGCCACCTGGCGGGGCCCGCATCTCAGCCACTTCCCCACCACAGCCAAGAAGCAAATAAAAACCCTGTCACCATCAGAGACCAGAAAGCCGGCAAGCCTGTGAGCTCGTAGAAGTAAGAACGTCCAGGCTCAGGTGGGGTGTGTGGCAGGCTAAAGTCGCCCCACCTCAGGCTGGATCCCCAGAAACCAACCCTGAGTGTGGACTGCTAGTATGTGAGGGCAGTTTGAAGGGTGTGCCCCGCCCTCAAAAGATATGTCCAATCCAGTCCCTGGAGCCTGGGAATATTATCTCATTGGGGGAAAGTATCTTTGCAAGTTTAATTACAGGTCTTGAGATCATCCTGGAATACCTGGTGGGCCCCAAGTACAACAACAAGGGTCCTCAGAAGAGGCCAAGGAGAAGGAGACAGAGGAGGAGGAACGTGAAGGCCGCGACAGTGTCAGAAGGACACAGCTGCGGGATAAGAAATGCCGATGAAAACCAACCACAGACACCAGCGGCCAGGAAAGAGGAGGACGGTTTACCTGGAGGCTTCAGAGGGGCCGTGGCCCTGCCAGCACCTTGGCTTTGGAGTCCTGACCTCCAGAACTGTGAGAGAATGACTTTCTCTCATTTTAAGCCACCAGATGATGAACCCAGAAAGTACCAGCAGGGATGAGAGAAGCAAGGCAGGGAGGAGAAGGCAGCCAGCTGCAGCTGCGTTCCTGAGAGGCTGTGCTGTGGACAGCTGAGCTCAGTCCCCTGGGGAGCTCTGGGAGGCTGCCTGGAGTGCACCCTGGAGTTGTCCCATGCCAAGGTAGATGGGGTACACACGACTCCCCTCCATCATGACGGAGGCTGCTTCTGAGTGTGGAGATCCCTGAGCCTCTAGCCTGCCCTGGGCTTGGACTGGCCCAAGGGGGCCAACTGATCTGCCCGGAAAAGGGGGGAGGGTCAATCACAGTATCGGTCACCAAGTGGGCTAGAGGCAGGACCAGTCCCTGTTTAGTAGGGAACATCATTCACTGAGTAGCGGTGATGGACCAGGTGCTGGTTGAGATGCTGGCTCCCAGAGCCCAAGGTTGTGTACAAGGCCCTGCACGTGTGAGCCTTGCCTTCTAGGGTACTGATGGGATAAATGACAAGAGTGTCGGTAAAGTGGAGTGATGTGGAACAGGGGCTGGGGAGTCACCTTGGCAGGGTGGTTCAGGAAGATTGTATGAGCAGAGGCGTTTATGACAAGTCCCTCGGGCAAACCTCAGGTAAGAAAGTTCTGGTAAGAAGCAGGTGGCTTTAACAGAAAGGACGCAGTGAGGCTGAACAGGTGAATGAGAGCCACCCCCACTGCTGGTGCGCCCCTCAGCTGGCCTCCACTACGGCCTTCCCTCCCGTCTCAGAGCGACGGCTGCGAGCCGGGGTGCTGATGCTCCCAGGGACATTTAGCCTAGACACGTTCTCAGTCGTCAAAATCATGGTGTTTGGGGGAAGGAAAGTGATACTGGCACCTCATGGGTAGAGGCTGGGTCTGCTGCTCAACAGCCTACAATGACAGGCCCGCAGTGCACAGCCCTGAGGATGAGAAGCCCCTTCCTTCCCAGAGCACGGGCAGTACAGCTGCCTCGACTCACACACACACCGTGGGTCCTGCCCCGCACACCCTGACCTCATTTCTGCTGCCTTCCAGCCCCACCAGGCCCACCACTCCCCAGCCTCCCCCTCCCCCTCTGCCCAAAGCCCTCTTTCTTATAGTCTCCCAGGCTAGTTCTTTATCATTCAGGTCTCAGCTCAGAAGTCCCGTCCCGGCCTGGACTATGGGGTGTCAAGTCGCTTCTTCGGCAGACAGTCACTTCAGAACACTAACTGCTTTGTGCAGCCTTCTCTCCACATGTCCCCACCATTCACTCCAGCGGCCAGTTAGAAGGGAAGCTCCAGGAGGGCAGGGACCCTGCAGACTGTTCACAGCTGCATCTCAGGACAGTGGACGAGCATTCTGTTACTGTAGGAGGACTGGCTCCCACAGGCTGGGGAGGCCCTCCCAGGGCTGGGGTCCGCACACCAGGGCAGTACGGGGCCAGCAGGTGCCTGCCCCTCACCAGAGTGCCGTCCCCACGCTGTGGGGCTTCATGCCAATTGCTCATCCATCCAGGCGGGGAGTCTCCTCTGGTCTCCAGGGAAGCTCTGTCATTTTGATTCTGTGCTCTCCAAAGGGGGTTATGCTCAATAAAACCACAAAGCCAGCTGGATAGCAGCGTTCCTGTGGATCTCAACGTGCAAATTCTCCTCCAGCCTTACAGGAGTGTTTGAAAACAATCTCAGGGACAGGGGATGACGCCTTCCCAAAGCATGACCTCAGTTGGGGAAAGCTGTTTTGTTTGGAACAATCAAGGGGGACTGTTCAACATCATCTGTTGGATATTTTACTAGACAGCAAATTAAAATATCCATCAATAAGGGGAACTGGCTACCCCAGGAAAATTCATTTTTTTCCCACTCGAGTACTGAGAATGTATTTTTACCCCTTTGCCTTCCCAAAATACCAGTAAAGTGATATCAGAGAAGTTTCAAGAAGGAATAGACCTTTAACAGGGGGCTGGAGAGAGGCCCCATTAACGAGAGGGGGACGGAAGAGGACAGGGGACTTCTGATGAAAGGGAAGCAGAATGTGCTGCAGGGGCTTCAGGGCCTTCTGTCCAGCAGAACCCAGACAGGCTCCGGGTGTGGGAAGGGGGTCCACAAAGAGGCTGGCTGATCCGTGGCCTGTGTGTACACAGCTACTCAGGACAGATGAAGGTGCCAGCAACCCTTCCCCCTCCCACCCTGAGGGAGCTGGACACCGTGCCCCAGGTATGGGCGTGTGCACACACGCACACACAGACACACAGGCACGATTTCCTCTAAAGAAACTGTGAATTAACTGTGCGGGCACAAATGAGGCTCCCAAAATAGTGCCCTAGATAAAGACCCCTTTAAATCTAGGATTTGGGTCCCTGAAGGCCAGCTGCTGGCTGGCTGCTGTCCCGGCTGCTGTCCTAAAGTGGAGCCGGCCTCACCACCCACCGCATATAGTTGTTAAAATTCCCATCTGGAGGGATCCAGCGAGGCATCTACAAAGAGGAAACCCTGAAGATCCAGCCCAGTCCCTTACACACAAGTGGATCAAGAGTAGGGTGACCAGACGTCCCGCTTTGAACAATTTGTCCCTTGTCCTGCAGTGTTTTTAAAAAGTTCTGATTTTTGGAAAGAATGCACAAACGGGCGGGAGAACAGGAAGGGAATATACGGTTTTCGGCTGCCATGTGGCTATTTTGCCAGAATATGAGTTTTATATTATTTTTGTTAATTTTATAATGTTAAACTGTAATAATAACAAATAGTTGTTGAGAAGTGATTATGGAGAACTGCTTATCAAAGCTTGCATTGTTGTCAGGCCCTGCCCTGCCCTGTCCCATCCCCGCCCCGCCCCACCCCCCAGCCATGTTGTCCCGCTTTACAAATGTTAAAATCTGGTCACCCTAATCAAGAGACAGATAAAACCAGTGGAATAAGAGAACAAGAGAATGAAAAATGAGAAGAAAAGCTGACTCTGGGGAGGGGGGTGGGAAGTTATCAGACAAGGAGGAGTTTAAGAGGGAAAAAAAACCTCCAACTCCAATTAATATCCTCAGAGAGACTCAAAGAGTATTGTATCCATGTACAAGCAACTTGCCCAAAAGCTCAGAAAACAAGAGCTTATGAAATTAAACTATATGAAAATGGAAAAGAATGGCTGAATGTCAAAGCTAAGGAAAATTCCCAGAATAAAGAGTCAACTACGGAAGATGGAAACTTCGAGATAAAAGAAAAACATAGGGAATTGATGTAAGAAACCCAAAAATCAACCAATGTGAGTCACACAGAGAAAAAACAGACAAGGAGGAATTGTCAAAATAAAAGAGAAAAAAGAAGAAAATTTTCCAAGCTAGAAAGAGAGTTGCCTTCAATCTGAAGAACCCACAGCTCTGAACAGACTATATGGAAAAAAAACAAAACATTCAAATCCATTGCCCTAGAGTTCCGGGCCACCAAGGATAAGGGTTACATTTGAAAAGTTTCCAAAGAGGAGAATGAGGCATTCATCAAGCAACAAGATTTAAACAGGCATGAGCCCCACATGGCATGGATTCAAATCCCGGCTCTCACACTTGGCAGGTGTCAAGTCCTTCTGGGCCTCAGTCTCCTCATCTGCAAAATGGGGGCTGCAACAGAGCCATAGTGCCACAGGGGAGTAAATGAATTAACTGGGTAATTAATTCAGCCCCTGAAGCCAAGCACAGTCAGTGCCATGTGCTCATCTTTGTTGTTTTTCAAAAGAACAACAAAGAAACAGCCAAGAGGGGCGGCACAGTCTCTGTCTGCGGGACGAGGAGCTAGCCTCCCAGCATTGACCGCACTTCTCCCACCGAGCCGCGGCTGTGTGACTGTGAGCTGGGATGAGACGTGCCCCCCTCTGGTAGCCAAAACCAGTCATCCCAGTCCACTCAAACCACCAATCAGTCCTGCAATGCCTAAATTTATGCAGCAAGAGAAAGTTCAGGGCACTCGTTCCGTAGCTCCTGCCTCCTCCCCACTGTAGAGTCCGAGGCTGCTGGTCCCTGTTGTGCTACTGTGAGGGAGGCCGCCACCAGGGAGGGCAGACTGTGCCCGGTGCCCACACAACCGCCTCACCTTTGAATGGTGTGCACTCTCAACGTTTAAACCCATTTGAGTTGGGTTTTTGTAATCCTTCCACGCTCCCTGATGTATCCCACGCCACAGCCTCCAAGCCAAGCCCAACTTTGCACAGCAGTTACCTGAATCATGTACGACAGTGACAAGCCTTTGGATGAGGCACTGATGGAGGGGAAACTCAGGGTCACCAGCAAGGCCACGATGAAGGTGACGACATTCATGAGGACGTCCATCCGCAGGGCGAACCACCTGAGAGCACAGTTAAAGTAGAGGAGGTGGCTGGAGTTCTCGTCATTCAGCATCTTAAACCTAAAATCAAGAAAATTAGACACAGTAGGAGATGCGGCTGTGCTTCCACGGGGCTTCTGCTGAAATAAGGCAACAGGATTTCTAGTCCAGGTGAACGTCCTCTCACGCAGTGGACGGGCACAGAGGGGCACATGTGTCTGTGCTGTTTAAATCTGCCTCTGCCACCATGGACATCTTCAACTGGCACATATTCTGAGAAACCCCAGGTGCCAGTGGCGTCTGGTGCTAAGTGGGCTCTTCCTTTCCCAGAACTGGCAACTGGGGCCGCCGCTGAGGAGAGAGGTGCTGAGCACCCTAACTGCCCAGGGCTCCGGTCTCGTGCCAGCCACCCTCAGAGGCCTCCCTTGATCTCTAAGAAGGGAGGGAGGAGGTGTAGTGTGGAGGGGGCACGTTCTGGGGCTACAGAGGAGGGAAGGAGGGGGCCTGACTGGCTCCCCACCCCGCATCAGAGGTAGAAGGGTTAAGATAATTGCTGGCAAAGCTGGGAGTCTCCACACGGAAGGGAGGGGCACAGTGCAGGGGGACAGAGGGACAACGCCCAGGAGATGGCGAGCTCCCTGGGAATGAGAGTGCAGAGGGAGGCGGCATTTGGGGCTAGTCTTGATTCTGTGACCTTACTCAGTGTCTAGCAGAGAGGCCACCACGGCAGAAGAATGCAGACAGAGGGCTGCCTGGCAGGACCCACGAGCAGACCCAGGGATCTTCCTCATGCAGCAATGCCCAGCAGAGCTGCTGTGGGTCTGGTCCCATCAGGGTCCTCACCCTGCCATCCCCCATCTGCACAGTGAGCTGGACTGGCTGGAATGGGCCACAGAAAGGAGACGGTGAACCCACAGGTGGCAGCTGGCTGAGGATGTGTCCCCCCCCCTCCTGGATCCCCTGCACGGACATAGGGAACAGGACTAAGAGAAAGACAGGTGTGTAAGAGAAAAGACCGCCTGCTCCCCCACTGCTAGCCTGCCCCACCCAGCACAGTGCACGCACACACACACACCATACACAAACACACACCACACATATACACCATACACAAACATACACACCACACACGTACACCATACACACACCACACACACACACCATACACAAACACACACACCACACACGTACACCATACACAAACACACATACCACACACATACACCATACACAAACACACACACCTCACACATACACTACACACACACCACACACGCACACCATACACAAACACACACACCACACACATACACCATACACAAACACACACACCTCACCTCACACATACACTATACACACACCACACACGCACACCATACACAAACACGCACACCACACACTCACACACCATACACAAACACACACACCACACATGTACACCATACACACACCACACACACACACCATACACACACCACACACACACACCATACACACACTGCACACACACACACCACACACACACACACCATACACAAACCCACACACGTACACCATACACACACCACACATGCACACCATACACAAACACACACACCACACACTATACACAAACACACACACCACACATGTACACCATACACACACTGCACACACACACACCACACATGTACACCATACACACACACCACACACACACACCATACACAAACACACACATCACACATGTACACACATACACAAACACATAGAACATAGACAACACACACCACATACACAAACACACACAGCACACACTACATACACACACACCACACATACAGCACACATACCACACCCACCACACACATGTACACACACACAACACACAACATACACACCCACCACAAACACCCACCACACACACACCCAATACACACACCAAGCACACACCCGACATACACATGCACACCACACATACATATATATACCCACACACCATACACATACCACACAGACACCACACATACACACACACCACACACGCCCTTGCCACACCAAGCCTCTAAGGCAGTGATTTTCAAGACACACTGGTGTGCCATGAGAGGATCTTAGGTGTGCCAAGAAAAGGTTTTTTACTTTAATTTTTATTAAATCAAAACTGTATACAATTATGGGGTACAATATGATGACTTATTATACAATAGGAAATATTTAAATCAAACTGATTAACATAACCATCACCTCACTCACTTATTTTTCGTGGTAAGACATTTATAATATACTCTTAGTTGTTTTGAAATATATCTTGCATTGTGTACCTTAGGTGAGACCTCACCAAATGCCATCCCCCCACCACCCTCCCTTCTCCCACTCCACCCCTCCTTCCTTCCAGATGATATTTCTGTTTTATAATGGTATGAACGTGTGATTATATATTGGTTTCATAATAGTATTGAGTACATTAGACACTTTTTTCCATTCTTGAGATACTTTACTAAGATGTTCCAGCTCCATCTAGGTAAACATAAAAGATATGAAGTCTCCATCTTTTTATGGCTGCATAGTATTCCATGGTGTACATATGCCACAGTTTGTTAATCCACTCATGGGTTGATGGGCATTTCAGCCGCTTCCATGACTTAGCTATTGTGAATTGGGCTGCAATAAACATTCTGGTGCAAATATCTTTGTTGTAAAATGCTTTTTTGTTCATCTTGGTAAATACCTAGTAATGGAACTGTAGGATCAAACAGTGGGTCAACTTTCAGTTCCTTGAGAATTCTCCATCCTTCTTTCCAAAAGGGCTGTATTAGTTTGCGTTCCCACCAGCAGTGTAGAAGTGTTCCCTTCTCTCCACATCCATGCCAACATCTGCAGTTTTGGGATTTTGTGGTGTGGGCTAATCTTACTGGAGTTAGGTGATACCTCAGCATGGGTTTGATTTGCGTTTCTCTGATGATTAAAGATGATGAGCATTTTTTCATTGTTTGCTGGCCATTCACCTGTCATCTTCAGAGAAGTTTCTGTTCAACTCTCTTGCCCACAAAGAAATGGGGTCTTTGTTCTTTTCTTATTAATTGGAGTTCAGTTATCAAACCTTTGTCAGAATCATAAACTGGAAAAATCTCCTTTGTAGTGCCAACAAAATTTTTAAAGGTCATTAATTAAATTATTTTCAAAAGAAGTTTAAAGCACAGTAAGCATCTTCTTCTCACTCTTTTTTTAATCAACATAATTGAAGTGTGCTACAGAAGTTTCACTATAGGTTCAAGTGTGAGTTTAAAATTGGAAAACCCTGCTGTGAGGGGGACACAGAGCTGCGACTCGAACATACTGAATACTGAAATTTTAACCAGACTGAACCATTAGCCCAAAGAGAAGAGGCATCAGGTTCATTGCCATTAGGGGACTTCATCAGAACTGGCAGAAATTAGTGGGAAAAAAATGAAAACCCTTCGATGTTTAACCTCCTGAGAAGTTACCATCCACTGGCACAGCTGTGAATGTCCAGCAAGGATTCTGCCTGGAAGCCCCTCTGACCAGCCGGCCTGAGTTCGGCCTCCAGGTCACCTCCCATCCCCAGAGCCTGCTTCCATCACGTAGCTACGCAGCCCACAAATTCAGGCGACAGCATAAGTGGCTTAGCAGCCATCCCTTCTTATCTGTGCGGTTGGTTAGATTGTGCAGAAACAAAATCACTAGCTGACAATAAATTGGAATTTGACCTCGAATCTTTTCTCTTTAATGCTGTAGCAATTTTTGTCTGGTGGCAAAAACAATGCACATCGAGAAGCCCAATAATTTCTGGAAAGAAATTATTAAAAGAGGAGAAACCCCATCCACACTGCTCGGCCCTCCATAGGATTCTCTTGGAAATCTTGGAGGAGGATCTGCGGGAAGACAGAAGCTCGGGCTTATTTTATTCGTCCTGGGTGAGTGGATGAAGCCCCCATGACCAGGACGCTGGAAGGGTCGACAGCTTCCCTGCAGTGAGGTGAGGCCCTGGACTGAAATCTGTACAACAAACAGCAGAGATGCTTTGCTACGCTGAACCACAGAAGTCTCCCTCAGGTCCTCATCCTGCCCTCTCCCCTTGTCTTCCGGCTGGACCCAGAGGCTCCTGAGGAAGACACCAAGGTCTTTGGGATGGGAAAGCCCCAGATGAAAAGAGTCCCCGCCTGAGTGCAGAGCAGGACCCCTCCCCCATCCCCCAGGGACCCTCACTAACTCGTGACTTCAGGACAAACAGACATTTACTGTGGGAAGTCTCTAAGATTCAGAATCGTCTGTTACTGCCATGAGCGTCCTGTGCTTGATACATTTTGCACTGAACTTGAGAAGTTTGAAGGTGGAAGCTTCCAGAGAAATTTCCTAATCTAGTCACCGCATTTTAAAAAGAAGGAAACGCTAAGTGAAGTGGAATGTGGCCTTTAAAAATTATTTCCACAAAGAACAAGAAATGACATGAAAAAATGTTTATTTTAAATGTTAAGCTAATTTTTTTTTTTTTTTTTTGCAGTTTTTGGCTGGGGCTGGGTTTGAACCCGCCACCTTCAGCATATGAGGCCGGCACCCCACTCCTTGAGCCACAGGCACCACCCCTTGTTAAGCTAATTTTTTAAAAATGATTATAAACACATAAGAATAAGAAGACACCATGAGAAGACAAAAAGAAAAGATTGGAAGGACATACAGCAGCAGTGTGCCCAGAAATACAGATACATTTTAAGAAAGGTAAAAACTGAATTAAAATTGTAATACTCAAGTAACCCTCCGCTTCTGCAAGTACGAGAGATTACATGATACAACACACAAAACAACAAATGTTACCAGTGTACACTGAGTATTACAATTTTAATACAGTTTTTTTTTACCTTTCTTAAAATGTATGTGCATTTTTAGGGGACCCTCCATCTATGAAAATATTAATGGGATCTGGGTTTGGGGCCTGTGGGTGATTTTTCTTCCTCCTCCTCCTCTTTTTTCTTTATGTTGCCCTGTTTTCCTGAACTGATTTTTACTTTAAAAGTAAAAATACAACACATAAAACATACAGAGGCACAGACTGAGGCTACCACTGAAGGAGCTCTGCCCCTCACACCTTTGGGGCCTCAGACGCGGAAGGAGGCCAAGTGCAGGAGGCATCAGCAATTCGTCCACCCACGGTGGTCCCAGAAGCCAGGAGCTCCCTTCTCAGAGGCAGAGAAGACGTGTGCCCCCTGCCCTCTGTGCAGGGCCAGGCAGGGAGCGTGGGTCCTGGGCATCACAGACCCACGTGCTGACCAGCACAGGCCCTGGGCATCACAGACCCACGTGCTGACCAGCACAGGCCCTGGGCATCACAGACCCA